TAATAGAGTAAGGTTAGATGTTTTGGAGCAGAAACCACTTCGTTTTGTTTCCTTTAGTTTTCCGACTTATATTGATATTGAAATTTACATTTCGAACTATTCCTACTGAGTAGAAACGTTGGAAAAGGAAATATTTCTAAATATTGATTTCCTTGATACGTATGTATATTTCCAATTTGAAAAATTGGATTTTTCACTTAATTAACAATAACACATACAGTGTGTCCGCAAAGTATGGAATAATTTCAATATTTACAAAACCAAAGGTCGTTTTACAAAAATCCGAAACACGTCGATTTTTAATTTTAATATTCTACATTTCACAATAAAATATCATTATACAGGGTGATCCATATTAATGTGATGACGTCATCGGTAATTTTTTTAAATGCAACACCTTGTATTTGATGTCAGTTTTAGATAGTCCGTAACGAGCTGATTCCGAAGAGGTATGATACTTGGGGTCTAACGGACAGAATTTGAACGATGTGGGCTTAGAAAATAAATTTTATCGATATCTAATAAAAGTAGAAATTAATCAATTATTTTTTATTTTCTTCTAATGAATAATTCAACAATGGGAAAGTNCTCCGATTACCATCTACAACTCGAAAAATAGAAGCGAACCTGGTTTCATTTGAATAAAACATTATTCGCCATTACCGGTCACGTTTTTTTTATTCGTGTATGCAAATCGCAGCACTGGCGTGTGATGACTTAATTGAAAGGTATAATTAATCAGGTACAAACCATATGACGTTGAAAAGGGTTGATTGAACTTTTACTACAATAATCGATTTCCTTGCTTATTTCCATATTATCGATCAATCAGTATCAAGATATGATGAAAGCATTTTGTTTCCACGTTTCTGAGGTATCACAGCTTTTATGTTGAATGTACACAATGATCGAAAGGTGAGTGAAATGAAAACATAATATTTGTGTGAAAGGGATCATTGAAAATCTCTCAAATTCAAACAATTTCCATCGCTGGCTCCTGCTGACGCAATTCTCAGTACATTCCGTCTTTTTATTTACGCTGCCTACCATAACGGGTGATTTTTTAACAGGTATGGGATTTGATTTTCAAAACAACACAAAAAATTTTAAAAAATTGATTGGAATTGATAGAACGATCGATATAATTTAATGTTTGAAGATGATTCCATGCAAATGTTATCCGCGGCCCCGCTTTAAATGGTCGATCTGCAAGGTCCAATTTTGGCACACTTCTAACATATCGACCGGTATTTCACGTATAAATGCTGTCACCAACCCAAAATCCACACCGAACAGTGACTTTTTCGGGATGCATTGGACGCTCTTGGATCTTATGTGGATTGGTATCGTTCCAAATTCGACAAATTTGTTTGTTCGCGTACCCATTCATCCAGAAATGGGTCTCTTCGCTGACTATGATTGCCACAGTTGCTACAGAGCCCATTCAGCGAACACATGTCGTTGTCTATGATCATTTACCATCAGTTCCTGGGTCAGTTGAATTTTGTACAGGCAGGCTCAAGTCACGACGCAAAATTCTTCAAGTTGTGGTCTGTGAAAAGCCGAATTCCTGTGAGCGACGCGAAATCGACTGACTCTTCTTCCGCATACTCTCAAAGACAGCGGCGATGTTTTCGACAGATTTTGCGTTTCGTCGACGTACGGGTGTTGATCGATCGTTTAGGCTCGATCCACACTATGATGCCGTTCTCGGTCCGATCTCGCTCCGGTCTCGGTCCGTTCCCGGTCCGGTAAAGTATTCTCAAACAAGAAAGAATCAGAGTAATTTCACTATCGTATCGCTCTGGTTCCGATCCGACATCGCGCCGGTACCGGTTCGTCGAAAAGAATATTCGACTGGAGCGAAACTGGGGCGAGATCGGACCTGTCATGACTTGTACCGACAGTGTGAATACGTTTTTGTTTCAACTCCAGTTTTTCTTCGGTCTTGCAAGGAGACGTTACATTTTTCTTCTAGTCATGGCTAGTTAGAAATCGTGTGATTCTGAGTATTTGAGTAATTTATAACATTTGATCATATAAATAATAAAATTTTCTTCGTCGTCTATCAAATGACGATATAACGTGTGATATTCGCCTTCTTCTTTTCTCGTTAGTAAACTGGGATGTATCGACATTCTTCTTCTTTTCATTTTATGTTGTAATTTTTTTTGATTTGTATTCTGTTCGTCCAAATTAATAGCTATTATCGCTAATTCTTCGATTGAAAAATTAAATGCCATTTTTTGACGAGTACAATTTATCGAATTATTTCGAGAAACGTCCTATGTCGACCGTTTCAACAAGATGGCCGTTATCAATGATCAATATATTTCAAAAAATTACATTTGATATTCAAAACTTGTAGATATTTTGTTTTTAATTTTCTTTCATTCTGTGAAATAATCCGTCCTTTCATGGGTCTCTTCAGTCTTGGGAACAAGAAAAAGTCGCAAGGTGCCAAATCTGGTGAATACGGTGGCTGAAGCATGATCACTGTGTTGTTTTTGGCCAAAAAATTACGAACAAGCAATGACGCGTAACCATGTGCATCTTCGTGATGCAAACGTTATGAATTGTTTTTCCACTATACCGGACGTTTTCTTCGTATTGCTTCTCGTAAGCGAAGCATAACTTCAACATAATACTCCTTATTACCCGTAAGACCATGTGGCAAGAACTGATGCACTATGCGACCGTAATCAAAGAAAACGGTGAGCAAAACCATGACTTCTGATCGAACTTGGCGTACTTTTTATGTTCTTGGTCCTCCTGATCCGATTCATCACCAGTTATTAAACTTTTAAGCAAATCTGGATCGCAGGTGACGTCATTCAATTATTCCTAGGCGATGCTCTTGCGACGATTTTTTTTGTCAAAATTAAGCAATTTTGGAACAGACTTCGCTGCCCACGCTTCATGACCAAAATTTACGAAAATATCGCATAGCATGAGCCAACCAATATGCTCAGTACAGACCCCTCTTTCCCAATGGGCGCTTTAGGCAAGGGCCCAGGGCCCCACCATCGATAGGGGCTCCCCTAGTTCCTGTCAGATCACCAAACAATAACCAATATTTATTACCAAAAAACTTATATAATTCGAAGAAATCGAACCTGAATTACTGACTACAATACCATCTTACTAGCTTTTACATGCGCGAAGCTATTCTACTCTCACCCAAAAATTAGGCTTTCCGACTTCAGCATGCTTAGATACATTTGAATATATAATGGTATACTAAGCACATACACATTTTAAAGAAAAATCCTCAGTAGTACACTCATCAGTGTGACTCGCTNCGTTTCATGTGATTATTAATAAAAATAAATATTTAACATTGTTTATCTAGTTTCTTTGTTTATTCTAACAAAATAGTGTTCTGTCAAAGTCATAGGGGCCCCATTATCCTATTATGCCTAGGGCCTCCAATAGGTTAAAGACGGTCCTGACTCAGTAACTTATCAAATAGTGATTCGACAATGATCTATAACAATTTTCTTCACTTTCTCAACATTTTCATTGCTTGTTGTTCTGAGACGTCCAAGGCGAACGTCGTCATTCACATCTTCATGACCTTCTGTGAAAAATTTGTGCCACTTGTAAACATTTTTGGCAGAGTACAATCACCGTATGCCACTGTCAACATTTCAAGTGTTTTTGAGCACTTAACTCCATTTCTCACACAAAATTTGATGCAAATTCTTTGACCCAGTTTTTTGATACCAGAAAATTGCCAAACAAGCAGAATACTTGTAACTTTTATGCCTCTCACTAACAAACTAAACACGCTAAATAGCTGAAATTGTGAACATTATGTTCGAAACAAGTGTTCCAAAATGAAAAAATAAAAAAATCGCTAATCAAATACTTAGCTAGAGAAATTTGAATGTTCACCTTATTTTTTGAACAGACCTCATATGTAGAGTGTATCATTTTGAATTTGTTCAGAGAATGACATGTACTCTCAGTTTTATTATTTTACAATCATTTTGAGAAGTCTGGTAAATTCAAAACAAGCACTTTGCCCAATCGCCAGAAATGCAATATTCTTCCGACGAGCCTTCAACCAACAATGAGTTTTCTTCATCTCCAGAAGACACCAACTTGGTTGACGAAACACGTGTCGAAAACAGTATTGCATTTCTGGTGATTGTGAAAAGTGCTAGTTTTGGATTTATTGTATGCCAGAGGTTCCACTTTTACCTTTCATTAGTCTGGTAGAGTCCACTAACTTGATATAGAGTGTGAAATATAAACATCTGTTTTTTTCCCAATCCATCTACCCCTCTATCCCAAAAATCTCTTCAACAATTAGACTTTCACCAAAATATTTTGTAGAATCATGAATATTCACACCGAAATCATACTTACAGATACTGCATGGATCTCTGCCAATCGATTAGTGATTTGTTTGAAATACTGTTCTGGGGCTATAGCGGAAAGATCGTTATAAACAATTCTCCTGAAAATAAAAAACAAGGGATCAAACCAAAAAAAATTGAAAGTACGGAGAACACAAACCCATCCCAAGCGTTGTTATCTTCCTTGTACAAATATCTAAGTTCCAAAGAGCAGCACAATCAAAAAAACATTCAAAATGAATCGTTTATCATGCAAATATATAAGCGACATTACTTACAATTTCTCATAACGCCAATTTAGTTCTAAGCATTCGAAATCTTGAATAGGATTATTAATGATCGAAATGAGGTTCATATTTACCCAGATTGATGAAGTACGTCAGATAAATGGAAGAGAATGTCTACTTCAAGAGGCGTCATTTGAGACATGGCCTGGGCAGAATGCATGAATTCTTCCTTGCTAACCTCTTGCGTCCGATGGCCATTAGTTACTGTAATTATTTTGCAAAATTCACTGAAAATTTTTGTACCGTACTGCTGGACGTTTGAAGTGCCAATACCTAAATGTTTCAACAAGTTTGAAACGTAATTACTTCATGTATCACTTTCAAAATTATTTTTATACAGTTATCAAAACATCAATTAACTTTTTTATCTTACCTCAATCAGATGGGATTGGACCTGTTTGGTAAGCAAATGACTCTTGATGCTAACCATGATTTCCTGAAAATCCAAAATAGAAATAAAACCTGTACCATTTTTATCAGCCCTTCTAAAACCTTCAATAGCATATTCTTCATGAAAATCATGCAGGAACTGACTGAACTCGTTATAAGTTACTAAGCGGTTTTTCTCTTTTCCGAAATAGAGTTGAACGAACGGAGACTCCATGTTGAAGGGAATTTTCCTGTGAAGATCTGTCTTTTGCATTACCTCAAGGAACTCCTCTGTGAAAATAGAATACAATAGATGTTATTGCGTCATATGGGATAATTTTGTTGTAGTGCTTTTTTAAGTAAAAACAATATGCGATAATATTGTTAAATGAATTCTGTTCATTTTCATATATAATTAAACACTAATAGAAACAATAGTATCTGAAAGATATTGAAGATAGTGAAGAAAGGTTTTGACATTCTACTTCTCAATCTTGATACAAAAATATGGAGAAATTGAAATTCAAAACTGTACTTTCCCAAAAATTGATCTTTCCTAAAAATATAACCCTTTCCATTTATATTAAAGATATATTAAAGATATAATATTATTTTTCCTTTCATACAATTAAGTTTATTGTATTTCTCGTTGAAACGTTGTTTTACCACATAAATTATTTCTAGGGTAGAAAATGATGACTCATTAAGTGTGTGTCAGAACAATAACACTCACAAATAATATTAATTCCTTAATGCTATAGTGGGTACCATATTATTCTTTAGTGCATCTTTAGACAGCACAAACGAACTGGATAGTTTGCCCACTCAAGGGTATGCCACGTAAAATTGTCTTTGGGAAAACATAATGTGGCATTGGGACTCATTATTAGTCAATGCAAATGCCAATCTAATTGGAAATTGCACAGGTTTAAAATGAATTGACACATCTGTAATGGGAATTCGTGGTATTGAAATATTTTCACCTCGGAACTTGCCATTTAAAATTGTGGCTTCGACAACGTTTTTTATTAATATTTATAATGACTAATTGTGTGCCGTTGCACAGCCGTGGTGAATTCAAATTACGAAGCGATCCAACCTTCATGTTTCAGTTGCAAATTTTGCGGTGGCATGCCTACCAATTCCAACGAATTCAGAAACTATGTTGGATAATTCACAGCTTCGGTGGCATCGCAAACGATATCTACGCAGTGAGAGAAGGCTTACTGTGTGAGAGAGACAGGAGACCGGCTTCGTTCTCATCCCTACAACTTGTTTACTAAGTGAGAAGTGACACCAGTAGACGCCTGGCGAGAATAACTGATCTATGATCAGGGTTAAAAATGATTAGATTACCAAAATGGCTATTAAAAAATTGGGGTTGGTGATAGAAGGGTAAAAATTGAGGGTTATATGTATTTTGTAAAGCCACATCATCAAAAAATAAAAAACAAATTGTCCGAAAAAAAAAGGTTTGGGGTGGAGCACCCTTATTGCTTAGGGATATGAAAAATAGACTGAAACATATTCTCAGACCTACCGAATATACATATAAAATTTAATAAAAATCGGTAAGGCCGTTTTAGAGAAGTAGGTACGGTTTACTTTGCTAAGCTTTCGCTTCTAGTGGGAAGCTTCTTCAGGGCAATAAAAATAAGAATAAAACAATGAATTCAACATAGGAATTGATAAAAAGAAGTGAAACATCTGATGTTGACAGACGTAGCTTCAAAAAGATGGCCGTTATCAACTGTCAAAGTTCGGAAGTCCCTGTTTGAAGACCGTATGCATATATTTCCCTCGTGCATTAAAGGAAGTTAAAATAGGCATTTGTTGTACTTCTAGCTTCACATTATTTTTGATATTGTAGAAAATTGAGAAAACAGTTTCCCCTCCCTCCCCCGTAGATTGAAACAATACAATTCTGGTCATAAAAGAATTGTTGATTTTCATTTTTGTAACATATATCTTTTTCGAAATCTTTATAAAAGGAAGGCATTAACTTATGATAGTTATGATAATGGTAAACAGATATTATCTCTTCATATCACCATACTTATATCATCACAACTCATTTCTAAAAATGGAAGTCCTGATTTTGTATTCTTATGAACCAACAGGTTATTTTTCTATATTAATTTTCAGTAATCTTTTTTTTTCACATGATTTTTTAGACAAAGTTGTGATATTGCAATGACTGGAAATTACTTAAGGTTGGTAGGTTAAATAATTAAAAAAGATCTATATTCGTTTGATAAAACAATACTTGTGATATTTCGCTATTATTAAAAAAAAATACATGACAAAAAAGGCTTTAGCGTTTCAATACCAACGACCTCGTTCCACTCTTTCAGAAGCATGTCATTATCTAAGAACATGGTTATGACCTCCAAAAACCGACAAGGTCAGATATGAACATAGAAGAAACGGTCTTAGAAAATACGTAAAAAAAGGGTACTTACGAAAACTAACCATTCCATTTCCGTTGGTGTCAAATAACTGAAAGGCAGTTTTGTACAAGGCGTCTGGAAAGCAGAGTAGCCCTTCGAAGGCTTGAAATTCCGGATATGAAATAAGTCCATCCTTGCTCGTGTCTACTATGGCAGCCAAAAGTCTTAGCGTATCAGCGTTGTAATTGTTCTGGTCCAAAATATTCAAATATTTTATCACGAAATCCTCAGCTGTCATAAATTTCTCTCCGTTTTTATCAACGGAGGCATACTTGTTGAATATTTCTCTTAGATGTGTTTCGTTTGCCCTTTTCAAAAATCCGCCTCCCTGCAAAGATAGAAGCTTATCGTAAATAGTAAACAAACTGTATAATTTCAGAATGATAGGAAAACCAATAACAAACCTAAATTTTCCGTTTTTGCAACTGACCTCTACTGTATAAATTCTGGTTCCGACCATTTTTTCAATTTTACGTTAAAAAAAAATGAACAATTTTAACCCAGTTCTCATTGCAGACTTGCGAATAAAACGCCTTGGAACAGTCCCATACCTCTACGTAAGCGAGGTATAAAAATAGTCATAGCACAGCATTTAGCACATTATGTATTATGTCGAAAAACAAATCTGAACAATAGTACGTGAATCTGAGTGGGAATCTCGTGAAAGTGAAAATAAATAATATAAAGTTGTAAAATGACATGGTGTAAAAATAGTATAAAAACTGAACGTGTCAAAAAAGTGACAAAGGAAACGGGTCAGTGAGATGAGGGGTCGACTCGAATTTACCAGGTGAGTTACTTAAATACTCCTGAGAAGCTACAAAACTTATTCACCATAACATATTTGTAACTACAATTAATCAATCAGCAATGTTTCAATTTGTAATCCCGGTAAATCACACAATTTCCATTTTTAAATTCATAATTACTACATGGGCTGAAGAGACACGGGCCCAACACATAGGTGGCGCTAGTATTATTGCATTCACCGCTTTTTCAGTTAGTACCAACCTTCAAAAGAAAGGTGTTGAAATTCCCTGATATTCTATTCATGAGTTTGCGAGTTATTGTGCTGAGAGTGATACTACTTTTGTTATTTTCAAAACAATGGACCAGAAACAATTTCGTGTTTTAATTTTACACGTCTTCTTGATGGGCATCAGAAACAACAATTAAACGTTGGTTTGGTGACTTCAAACGTGGTCGTAGAGAAACACCGATGATGCAGAACGCAGTGGACATCTAAATGAGGAAAACATCAGGTAACACCAGAAAACAAAAAAATCCACAAAATCGTTTTGAATGATCGGAAAGTGAAGTTGCGTGAGTTGGCTGATATTATAGAGATATCAAAAGAATGTGTTGGCTTTATATTGCATGAGCATTTGACTATGAGAGAGCTCTGTTTAAAGAGGGTGCCGCGCAAGCTCACTGTTGACCAAAAACAAGAACGTCTTGATGATTCTGAGCAGTGTTTGGCCTTGTTCAAACATAACAAACCGGAATTTTTGCGTCGATATGTGACAATAGATGAAACCTGAATCTATCACTTCACTCCGGAATCAAAACTATTGTCATCTAAATGGAGAGCAACTGGTGAATCCCGTCCAAATCGCCCGAAAGTACAACAAGTAAAGGTTATGGCCTCGAAAAAACGATCCTATTCGAAGAAAAAGAAAGTGCTGCTTCATCAAGACAATTTACAATCAATGAAAACAATGGCAAAATTGCATGTAATTGGCTTTGAATTGCTCTCGCATATACCAGATTCGCCAGATTTGGCTCCCAGCGACTACTGGCTGTTCGCAGACCGCAAAAAACTGCTCACTGGCAATTTATAATGACATTCACGAACCCATGAAACGAGATGACTTTTTAATGTCGATTTCAAACGATTCTTACTATCTTCAAACTATTAATGACCAAGTAGCTATCTACCTATTACGAATATACAAATAGTCATAGTATTTATGAGATAATTTTTGGAGTTTCGTGGTGGCGGTGGTAGTGGACGGATGTGCTGATAACGTCCGCCCACAAAGAAGGTGCGCGGATGCCATGTGCTACCGTGAGGCTCCGTTTTGTGTTGTGTTAGTCCATTGTGAGAGTCTTTTCAAAAGTGAAGAATAAGAGGCCCCCTTTATTCACGCCGGTATCCAGGCCGGGCAGGAGGCGACTTAATAAAAAATTCAATTGTTTTTATGAGAAAAAAAAGTTCGACAAAAATGGGTAGCAGCATTGCTTCGTGCAAGACCGCTGCGCCCCCCAACGAAGCTCCTTTCAACCTTGATAGGAGGAGCCTGGCCTAATGCGACCGAGAGGGAAGCAACGGCCATCCAAAATACATAGGGAGAGAGAGAGATAGGTACTTTTTTCTTTTTCGTTCATTCCTTTGCGTACTAGGCGACATTTTTGGTTGAGTGGAAGAGCAATTGAATGATGACTTGTCATCATGCAAATTGAACTTCGCCTTTCATTTTCATAAAACAATTCATCTAATAACAATAAAATTGAATCTGAATAATTTGCTTGAAATGTATTTGAAGATAATAAAGACGATATTATTTTTTTTACCGTGGTGTGCGCTGGTCAGGCCTTATCCCCCGAAGCCCCGATACATTCAGGAGGGCGCGCCAGCATTATCAACCAACGACCACTCCCCACACCGTGGGGTAAGTGATCATTGGGTCCGAGAATCATGTGCCCTGAGCAAACGCAGTGAGCCAAGAATGACAGCCTTCTGCATCTGTGCGGCTAAGATTTCTGCCTTAGTGCGGCAAGCCGGTATGATTTTGAGATTCGAGAGTAGAGAAGACATCATTCCACCAAGGACTCCAATAATCAGAACGACCATCTTGACAGAGTGATCTGGATAGAGTCTGCGGAGTTCGAAGAGAAAATCTCGATATTTTATCCGTTTTTCCTCCTCTTTTCTGACGATATTCGTCTCGCCAGGAGCTGAAAACTCCACGACAAATATCGTTTTGGTCTGGTGTCGAGAAGGACTACATCAGGCTTATTAGCTTGTATGAGTCTGAGGGTGGGAAACGAATAGTTCCAATAAATTCAATATTAAGACGATATTATTATTATTATTATTATTTTACGCTAATGGTTTCAATTTCACCTATTGAGATTCCAGGTCGATGAATGTTCGTTTATTAAACTATCAACAAACCTCAAATACATGTGGGAAGAAAGCTGCTAAAATTCCTTTGATGACATTAAATCCTGTTGGCTTCGTCATTCTTGAACCCATAGTAAAAAAATCATTTTTATCATTTTTGAGGGAGTTGCATTGCACGCCAAAGGCACAAGTAGCTATTATATCGTTGGTAAATTTAGAATAAGCTTCTTTTATTTCTAATTCTATTGTATTCTCAGGTTGGTTATAGAAGTGATCTGTGAATGATTCTGCTGTTTCTAGAATAAAAAAAATCAATGAGCAAAGTGTAATATTACAATTAATCATATTATCACCTGAACTATTGTGGTCAACCTTCAAAAATGAATAAATTGTCAGGTTAAACGTCCAAAACCAGCACTGTTTTTAAACACCAGAACTACAATACTTTTCTTGAGTCTTCAGCATTCAATCTCAGTAACAGTTACAATATTCAAGTTTTGGTTATTTCGAAAGTTTCACCCGTTTCGATGAGTCTACTTCAAACTGTAATATCTCAGTGAATAGTCATTCTTTGCAATATAAATAAGCGCAATTTAAATCAGTGCATTTTTGCCAACCTAACACAAGTTAATTAATTCCGTCTGCATGAAAAGTGTTTGCTCGGAATTCCATGAAGTAGACGAAACCTCATTTTACCTGGTTCGGATTGACGAATATTCTACCGGTAAGAAAGGTATACAGTGCTTTTCTATAATGTCTCCCCCCCCTTTAATTTTTTCAACGGGTCAACTCAAAAAATTGAAATTTGGGGTAATGAAATTAATGCGTGAATACTTCATTTTGCGGTGAAATTGACAGATGAAACTTTCTAGATCTGGGAAAAAAAAATAAATGGAAAGGGGGTCCGGTGACACATCCCTAGAATATAATGTCAATATCTTCAACTACTACAAAATGGCGGAACTTTTGAAAATTGCCTGAATACATTGATATTAAACTACATGATATGAGCTTGAGGTCAGTTCAGAAGATGCTCGAAATGGTTGTCTTGAACTTCTTGACATATGAACAGCCTATCCGATATTTCACGCCTAACATTTTCGAACACAGTAACGTCAATATCTCTACAATTATTTATAATTCTCTGCCGTATATCCGATATTGAAGCAGGTTCAGTTTCGTACACCTTTTGCTACAAATAACCCCATCAAACAGTCCAAAGGTGTCAAATCTGGTGAGCGGGCTGGCCATTCTGTAGGATCTAGACGGCCAATCCTATCGACCAAAAAAAGCAGTATCCAAATAGTTTCTTACTGGAGTGATGCGGTGGTGCTCCATCTTACAATATCCATATCGAATTCATTAGGATTCGCTTCGACGATTTCAGTAATGAGAGGGTTAACAGTAGTTTCAAACATATTCAACTATAATCCCCCTGTTGAATTTTGATCAATAAATAGAGGTCCTACAATATGGTTTCCCAATATTCCTGCCCAAACGTTAAATTTTTCTGGATATTGGATATGTTTCCCGAAAAATGTGAGGGTTGGTGTCACTTCAATAAAGGCAATTTTGTCTGTGAACATTGCCGTTTAAAAAAATAAACATTCGTCACTGAAACAAATATTGTGGAGATATGTAGGATGCCTCACAATGGTTTCCGTCATGATGTCGCAGAATTCTGTTCTTTGATCAAGGTTATGTTTCGCCATTTTGTAGTAGGTGAGGATATTGACTTCATATTCTATGGTTGTGAAGTATTCGTCAGGACCTTCAAAATGATGTGTCACAAGACCTCCTTTTCCATTCAATTTTTTTCCCCAGATGAAATGTTGAAAATTCCATTTGTCAATTTCACTTCAAAATAAAGTATCCATGCATTAATTTCATTATTTCAATTTTTTGAGTTGACCCGATAAAAAAAAGGAGGGGGACATTGAAAAAATGCACAGGTGAAGTGAATTGATGGATTTAACCGTTACTACGTGGTAGGGTATCATCATGAAAAATAAGAAATAAAACTTCCTATGTTTTTATGTCACTTGTATTTGTAACTAACGTTACAAATTTGTTTGAAAATATCCTTATAGGACAAAACGGCAGTAACGTTAGTTGCAAATTCAAGTGGTGTAAAAACAAAGGAAGTTTTATTTCTCATTTTTTCGCTATAGAAGTGCTTGAAAAGCTGGTAGTCTGATATTGAGAGGTCTAGGTAGTATAGTATGATGCTAATTTTTTTTTAATTTTTGAATCGTGATTTTTGAAACATTCTGGATGAGCATTGTCATGGAGCAGGATCGGACCTTTTCTGCTGACCAGACATTCCGTCGATTGCCGTCGATGGTTTGACCCAGTTGCAGAAAGTTATAGTGCTGACCACCATATAGTAACCATGGTCTTTTTTAGTGTGTTTTCACCTTTGAGAAGAGCCTAGGTGTTTTCATAGAGGACATACTTTCCATCACACGTGACTATTCGATCCAACAAACATCGTTTTGGTTTCGCGAAAGCAGAGATGAATAGACCACGGAACGTGACAATGTCTGTCGATATTTCAAACCGTAAGGCACCTTCTTCTTGAACTTCTTGGCCTCTTATAGACATTTCAAACCATAAAAAATCGCATGGGAGCTAATATCCAGTTCTTCCGCCATCCC